CAGCTGGGTTGTAATTGTCTCGATCCGAGTACCTGAAAGACTCGAAGTGACGCGATTTACGACGAGGCTTTGGGTTTCCTCTCTGCGGAACGGACAGCTTTGATTGCCTCTCGCAGTAATGTACCAGCACTTGAGCAATGGACCATGAATCTGAATGAATTACAGCGTAACTGCAGATTCGCAGAGAAGAGGAGAGAGCAGATAATTACCGTAATAATATACCGGATGTTTAAAAAGTGTGTGTACTTTCAAATATAGCCAGGAAAACTTTATCGGTAAAGTAATTGCCTATGTACTGGGTAACTGGAGTTCATTTCCCAGCAGCGGCTATAATTTTTTCCTTGCAGTCGCGTCGAATTGAAAAGCTAAGCATCAATTTATGATTTCCATATTGTGCCGAATTTAAGAATGCGTGGAGCTTTTAACTTCTCTAATTCAAATTCTTTTGTGATATACAGACTGAGTACAATGTGAACATTGCATTTGTCACCGCTGACGTATGAAATAATTCTGAAAAACAAAACATGTTCTTTGGAAAAACAATTATTTGCTCCTGTGATTACATATTGGTTTTGGCAATTCCCTCGATGCAGCATAATCTGTTAACGGGTGAGTTCGTACAACGATATCGTGAATGGTTTAGTCTGGTGTGCTTTAGTTGCAAATTCATCATCATCCTTGCTTGCTTCACATTTGAACTTTTCCAGTAATGTTAAGGGGCAGCCTAACTGCTCAATTTTCAAGCGAATTTGTGTCATTATTTATTACAAGCTGGATAATGCAGAACAGATGTAAAGTTTCCCTGTGTTGAAATAATTAAGCACTACGCCGTGAAAGCTTATGAGAGAGTGGATGGATAGATCCATATTTTCTTGACCTCGGCACTGGTTGGAGTTGAGTGGTCAGCTTCACGCTTCCGGGTCAATTAACCCCTTGGGAAAGAGCCGCCGATACCCACTGAATAGGAGGCTGGGTGGGCAGCCGGTCTGGACGAGGTGGAGAAGAGAAAATTCTTGACCCTACAAGGACTCGAACCCCTACTCAACGGTCGTCCAGCCTATAGCCAGTCGCTATCCCGACTGCGCTATTCTGGCTCTCTTTATCTGTTACGTAGAAATTTTATATGAGTTAAGGCGTGAATTTGTAGACTTTCTACGTTTCCTTTTTACACCGTCGTTGAAAACCGCCAGTGAGAAATTACTCTTTTATTCCTTGTTTCCAACCCGAGCCTTGCCTTGCCCGGGCCAGTGTGTACTTTTTCCATAAGATCCTGAAGCCGCCTCTCTGTACACCCTATGGATTTCACCCCTCTCTTCCTCCTCACTGCTTTCCAATCTATCCCCTTCGCTCCTACATTTGCAACGAGTTGAGGTACGGAGCACATATGGACATTCGCGACTTTGTCTTGGAGCTAGTCACTGTTCTGGCTGTGGCAGTGCCCTTGGGGCGGCTGGACGTGGGGGTGAGAGGAGACTGTTGGTTATTCTAAATCGTTGTGGTGGCCTTATTTGACTCCGTTTTGTTCATCCCCGGCGGGTTGGGCTAGGTGGGATCCCCTAGATGGGTTCCCCTAGGTTTTCAATTTATAGCTCGGCGAGCCCTAACCCTTGATCTATTATTGATTTCAGAGTTCTTTCTTTTTTTCCCCCCCCCTTTTGGACCGTCGGTCACGGTAGCCGAGCGGTCAAAGGCATGTACTGTTTTCGCTCGCTCGGAAACCGGGAACGTGGGTTCGAATCCCACTCAGGGCATGGATGTTTTTTATCTGTATGTGTATGTGTTTTCCCTTGTTTAAGTAGAAACCTTGCAACGAGCTGATCACTCTTCCAAGGAGTCCTACCTTCTGTAAAACGATCAAAATGAAAAACAGTCTCGACACCATAGTGTATAAGAGGAACGGATGTGTTGCAGACTCATCACTGTTTGTCTTCTTTATTTGTTACATGCGCATTGGTTCTGTTACTAAATTATGCCCTGCTTTGTACTCCTGAACTGGAGACGATAAGAAAGAAACACGGAAGGAACAGTTTGTTGCCCCATTTCGCCATAATTTATGTCATGTGGAATTGGCAATATACACGAAAGTAGCACTTGTGTTGCGCCGAAGATCATAATGAGCCGTGTGAAAGCAGCTTCCAACATTGACATCGTGTGCCGGTGAATGACTGGTGTCATCTGATCATAGACCTTTTTATTGGACCATTTATTCTTTTAAAGACATTGTTGCCAATTGTCGGAACTCTCTGAGGAACCAACATCCGCTTTGCCTGGAGACAAGGCTGCACATTATTGTCGGAGTATTTGAATCAGAGTTAAGATATTGACGGATTGGGCGTGCTCGAGGGGAACTCAGGATCTGACTCGAACTCGTTTCCTTTCATGCACTGCTGTGAAAGGGATGGCCTACAGGACGACAGGACGGCCGAGAGTGGAACTCTGCGTCTAACTGTGAATACTGCTTCTTGCGTACAAGTACGGCCGAAAGCAGTGCTCCGGGTAGCAAACTCTTTTGTTTCAGTCCTACGAGCCTGTGCCCCAGAACTGTAGCGAACATTTGAGGCAGTTAAATTCAGATGTATCTCATAAAGTGCAGAAACAAATTAATCTGATTAATTCCGTTGTTTAGTTTTCCTGCACGAAAGTAAATCACAATTCTTCATCTGCTGGTTATAGAACTGTTTTAACACAGCAGCACTTCCAGAATGTGTTACTGAATGTGTTAGACCTGTAAACATCGTGCATTGCGTCACATGTTGGGGCCACTCGTGAATAATGAAAGTGAAACAAAGTGTAAAGAGCCGATGGTGGCCTAATTTCACGTACTGTCCCGGAATTTTCCTGGGAGTGCTGAGGAAAAGCACAAAAACCTCAGTCAGTGTACTGGTCTCGAGACCCAGATTTCCAACTGGAGCCTACGCTAATACGAGTCTTGACATTCTGTATCCATTGGATAGGAGGTTGTGTGCACCGCAGGGCCGGCCTGGACAACATTGAGAAGTGAAAATTCGTGCCATCACCGGGACTCGAACTCCGACACCTTGGTCGTCCAGCACGTAGCCAATCGCTATACCGACTACGCTACCCCGACCCTTTCACTTAACATAAGGCTACTTTTAGTTCCTCACATGAGTTACACTCAGATTTTGGCCTTGATGTTAAGACGACATCGTAGAAGCGTCTGTATTTTTTTTCTTTGCAGACGTCTTCTGATTATAGGTAGTAAGGGAGACAGATGAATGTCCTTTTATTTTGTGAGGAGAGTATAAGTAAGACGTGATGGAGAAAATGTAATTAAAATTGTAATAAAATTCATCATTGGAATCTACTCACCACAATCATGAAACTGAAATATAATCTAGGGCAACTTCAATAATAATATACTGGTGTTATGCAGGATTTCATATGCTTTTAAAAGGCTGTTGAAAATTAAAATGGTCAGTGTGTGGCGAGGAAGGATATCCAGTAACGTGGTGTGGTGTGTTGTAGAATGGGGAAACTGTGGTAATTAGACAGGGAGTTCGCTGATCTGCAGGGAGAAGAGAATATTAGTTTAGGATATGCGAGAAACGAGAGGGCTATTGGAGAACTGGACATGCGTTTTTGGGGAAAGAAGATGTCGATAATGAAAAATGGATGCAAGTGTTTTGTTACTGAATTATGAAACCGTATACTCGGTTGCTAACAAATATTTGACTGGAGGTAAACTATTTTTTTTTTCATTTCGTCGGCGGTTGTTCTGTGTATGTGTAGACAGTGTTAACGTTTCGGATATAAATTCTGATTACATCATCAGGAACAATATATAAGTTAATGTTTCGAGACAACACGAGGGGAGTTGAAATCTATGATGATCCTGTATGTGTGGATCCGTCCGTATTGGTCAAGGTAGAGCATAAGCCCACGTTTAGAAATACTGTATTAACATATATTGACATAAACTCGCCCAGGCAACAAGGAGAAGGCAATAGATACCTCATGTACCTCTCCAGCCTTTCATACATCGGAATGAAAGAGACCAAGAACCGAAGTAAACACAGCGGAAACGTAAAACCGGGGAATAATTTTTCGGCATCCATTAATGTTCATGACAACGGACACTTTTGTGACGTGTGGCATGACAGTCACAACACAGCAAATAGTAAAACATCAAAGTCAGCGTACAGCTGTGGCTTTTCTACATGTTTCGGCCACTATCGGCTCTCCATGCAATACGGACAAATCTTCTTAATGAGGCAGCATTACACAGTTCATTAATTGCTACACCATGGACCTCTCTTAAAATCTTCTATATAAAGTAATATCGAATTTCACTATGTCTATGGAAACGCACTCAAAGTATATCTAACGACTGACTCAATGTTTTTGAAAACATTATTAATATTTTATCTTGTTATAATACTTCCAATTTTTTATTTTTATATAATCTAATCTTTTGTATTTTTACATAAGCAATTTTAAAATTGTACGATTAATAGTGTTATATCCATCTTATGATTGCATTTAAATGGTAGATTTTTGTTGACATGTATTTGCCTGATGATGGCCGATAGTGGCCGAAACATGTAGCAAAGCCACAGCTGTACGCCGACTTTGATGTTTTACTATTTGCTGTGTTGTGGCGGATCATTAAAGAGTTGTAATTATGAGTGAGCCTGCCACTAACCAACAAAAGTATGAAATCACACGTAAATTTGACGAGGCTTGGTAAATTTATTCTATTCAGACGGATGAAGGGCGAGTAATTCTGACGTACAGCAGATATTGGTGCAGGATGGCTATTTCAGGTGGTGTAGTCCACGTGCTTAATTAAGCACCTCGCCATGAAAACGCGTATTGTCAGCTTATCGTCCCGGCCCGCTTCGTCACTCTCTGAATCATGGTGCCCACTGGAGTGAAGCTGCGTAACATTTTCAGCAGACCCTGTCAATTTAATAAAAGGAACGAGAGGAACTGGAATCAGATGGGCAAATGATGTTGAAGAAGTAAATGAAAACGCAGTGTGTAGTACACAGCAGTGTCAGAGTTTATTGATATCTGTGAGGAGTCAGCACGATACACGTAAAGGTAGATTTTATTCCTTAAGTTGTGCATATTTTTCTGCAGTGATGCAAAATCGAAACCTTTATAACAATTGTATGGTTTTTCATAATGCTTTGTTTTTGTTTGTTGTTGGGGTTTCGTCAGCTGCACTGGTTACAATCCCCGGGCTGTAGGCTTACATCTTAACGGCAGGACCTGAAATCATGGACACAAATTATAATTCTTAAGCAATACCGTAGAGTACATTAGCGATTATGTAGAGAAATGTGTGATATTTTCAGAGATGAATTAATAATGAGATTTTTTCCTGACTGCGCATTTGATGTGCGAAATCAGATCATATATGTTGAATTCCTGAAGAGAAATCAACGTAGATGGTGTCTGAAAGTTTAGATCCGGTTGTAATTTATGTAGTACGGCCATTAATTTACACGCAACTCAAATAAACTGTAAATCTATCATCAATGTAGCAGTATTTAAGGTTTATATGGTTCAGTATGATTTGGAACATTTCTTAGTTGAGAGTTTGAAGAAAGAATAGAAGGATAAATTTTATGTGACACCAGTTTGATTGGTAATACTGTCTGCGGCGAGACGAGCTATGCAGCAATGCATAACATCGAGATAAATGCAATGGCAAAGATCTCATTCGCAAAAATTAACCTCTTTCTTCCCACTTGTGCTGCGTATCTCCCACAACATATACTTGAATATGATTATGGCTGAGGCACTAATGTCACACTTGGCGGATATATGGTCTGATACACTGCATAAAATTAATTACAGTACACTTGGAAATTACTTCCGTTTGGGTCGGAATTTAAGAGGGGACCATAAAGAAATGGACCGTGTCGGCATAAAGAAATATCGTGTATTCGAAATCTCAGCACAGAGCACGTGGAATCTCGGTCATTAATTAACAAATTCGGTGAATGTTATTTGCGGAGGTTATCAGTTACACATTCATTAGATCCTTGCAACGTATGGTAGTAAATTGTGACTTACTGTTTCTGTCGAAGACCAGAGATATTATTCTCTTCAATCCTGTTCCAGTACTAGCTCTTGAATCAACTTCTAATCAGCATCTAACTCGTAACTGGTGTCTGCATAGGATTAGACAGTCTGGAAAAAGTGAAATGCAAAATTAAAAATTAAAAACGTGTGCTTCACAAATACATTTTTATAAACGTTGGACCCTGTTTGGCCAAGGAAAGGTGCACTAACAAGATAGCAATAGAGAACACTGTCCAATTAAAATTTCGGAAAATATTTTCGTTTTCTGGTGAGAGTTCGTCAGTCAAGTGAGTTTAGTTTTTCGTGAAATTGAATCTGGTAGCTCTGGGGGGAACGAAGGCATTGAATGAAAAACGGGTGTACGTATTTCCCTTTCAACGAACCGTTATAAATGCGATGTTGAAGTTTAGTGTTGTTTTACTCGGGTAATTTCGTGTCGAAATATTATTGCGACCGAAACGTCCTTGCTGAATACATATGTTGTGTGGTAGCTTTAGCTTTCGTCCTCCTCATGCTCTTGGTATTATGTTGGATACTTTTACTTTCAATATTAGGTCACGAGGTAGCACTTTGCATTTATTTGCTGGTTAAGTCGCTCTTCAGCTTCCCTTGCAATGTGGATTAGGAGTTTAACGAAGCCCGTGCAGTATGAATTGTGTTCTGAGTTGATGAAGATATGTGGTTCAGAATTACATTTTGAAGAACATTGCAATGATTTCGTGAGAGAGGGAAAATTTCGTTGCAAATGCTCGGTTTGAATTTGTAACGCCCATTCTGAAGTGTTGGCGGAAGGCAAGCAGATTTAAGTGACATGCACCTTTCCTTGTTACACCCCCTCGGCACGATGAGCCACAGGGTCAGTGAGGGGGACCTAAAAAAAAAAAGAAAACAATTAATAAACCTGAAAGAGATAACATAGCGATTAATATGACGAATGTTTGCGGAACGGAAATTCACATGTTGATGGAAAAAATTCTGGAATATAGCTCATTAATTCAGTGTCATCTCAGATTGGTTCTCCGATTTGCAGGAGGCAGATATACGATGACATCTAAAAATCTGAAACAGATCAATCAGAACATTAGAATACCACGAAGTCTAGTGTTAAATTAGTTAGGGACCTTGTTTTTGACGAATATCCTGAATTGGAAGACAATCTCGTCTCCATATCGCGTAACAATATAATGGTCCACTTTTTCTATTGCAAGCTGCAGCTGATCCAAAATACCTAAGAATCGGCCTGGTTCCCCCCTCCCTCACGTAGTCCTAGTAATTTAGAAGGAAGTATCCTATGAAAATGTGGAAGAGTTGCAGCTTGTCAGGCCAAAACGAAAACATGAAAGACGTTGCTGTGAGAAATGAAGTCGAGTTTGGTGATTTGTCGCTCTGCTGAGATGGATGAGCTGATGGATTTAAACTGAAACAATTCAATCAGAACATTAGAATACCACGCAGTCCATTCTTAAATGAGCTAAGGACCTTGTTTTAGACGAATATCCAGAATTGGAAGACAATATCGTCTCCAGATCGCGTAACAATTTAATGGTCCACTTTTTCTATTGCAAGCTGCAGCTGATCCAAAATACCTAATAATCGGCCTGGTTCCCCCCTCCCTCACGTAGTCCTAGTAATTTAGAAGGAAGTATCCTATGAAAATGTGGAAGAGTTGCAGCTTGTCAGGCCAAAACGAAAACATGAAACGCGTTGATGTGAGAACTCGAGTTTGGTGATTTGTCGCACTGTTGAGATGGATGAGCTGATGGATTTAATCTGAAACAATTCAATCAGAACATTAAAATACCAAGTCGTTTATTGATAAAGTAATCTGAGGACATTATTCCAATTGAATAATCGACAGACGAGTGATTTTTTTTTGTTTGACATTTTTTTTTTGTCCTCGTTTTTCTGTTGCAAGCCGCAGCTGATCCGGAACTCCCTAAGAAATAGCCTGGTGCCCCCCTCATCGCAGCCCTATAGAATTTCGCAGAGACGAGCTGGAGGAAGAATGGAAGAGCTGCGGCTTGTGGGAGCCAAACTCTTTTCAAAATACACGTCTTTGAACATCTTCAACGTACAGAATGTGATTTCTGAATACTTGAAACCAGTGGAATTCATATTTAATGAGAAATGAGGATTCTCTGCAAATGTGTATCCTCTTATACAAGAGAAATGTGCAGGTGAACTGAGCATTTTAAGGAAATTTATGCGCATGACTTTTTAAAGAAGCCAATGCGAACTGGCATTGATGGCTCACACAGCGTCCCGTAACAAGTGTAATTGCTTCTTGAATCACGTTCGGGCGACGAACTGTTTCCCCCCACCCGAATCGCAGGCCTAACAAGAACGTGAAGAGAAACGATTGCAGCGTGTTAGGTTCACTCTGCTCGCCTCCTCCGGCTGCCAGCAGAAACCGGGCGAGTTCCACAGCCCTGTGTAATGAGTGTGTTGATGTTACTGTGACAAACTGTTAAAATCCTGTCCTCAATCTGGTAATTATTTGCTGTGTGATTATGGAAACGGGCTGCTTCACTCTAGAAGCTAGTGGAAGAACTGAGTGCAAACACCATTTGTTATGTAGGTGCGCCACCATTTCTTGTAAGAACATCATAGAATCAGGCCTTGAATGTAAACAAATTTGAATGCAGTGTTGAGTTTCTGAATTATAATTTAGAAACGCAACACTTAATTAAGGAATTTGGTTGTGTAGGACTTGCTGAATTTTGTATTGTGGACGCATCTACCTTATGCTAAGAGAAAGTAGGTAGGTTAGAGTCTTACGTTATTTCGTCAATTGGAAAACAAATGACAAATGACAACGCGTGAACTCTATTCCCTGGTGTATGCCAAGCAGTTCAGTGCGGAAGAGGCCACCACTTACACGCGACGTTAGCCTAGAAATGTAAGAGGCTTTATACTGAAATGAATTCGCGAAATAAGTGAAATCAGACTTTTATGAAGGTCATTGATTTTATTTTATTATTTTATACGGACCAAATCTCATTGGAAGAAATCTAACGATTGAAACAGTGGCCGAAAAATTATCATTCAGAGAGTAGCCTGTAGGAAGAACCTGGCTACACTCTGATGCGTTCAGGGCCAGTTTACTGAACATTGAAACGATTATTATAATATTGCGTGTCTCTCTGCGACCTCTCCAAGTGCTGCTTTCGTCCGCCACTGGCTGAAACACGTGGATGTCAAGTTTCCTGCAGCCTGTCAACGCACTGCGCTACCAATGTGGCCCCGCACATTGGCACGGTTCTATGTCTAAAGCAACATCCTGCCTAACATCACGGAAATCCTAACATCGTGGCCTAACAGTGTAATGTGAGGGTGGGAGGGGGTTACAAAGCACACAAAAAACAATAAGCACTTCCTTAATTATGCAGTGACGTCTTTTAAATCCAGGCTGCCAACTTAACGCTTACATACTACAAAACCCTACGACTCGAGATATACCAAGCCCCGAAAATCGCGGGGTGGCTTTCGCAATTCTAAATGATTCAGCCAGCGACCCTTACTGATCGGAAAGCAACAGGGGACAAGGAATCGACCACCTACTTTAACTGCGATGCTCTGTACTTTGGCCCTGATGTTGATGTTGCATAGTGTGCGATGAAGAACATGTAGGCAGTAGATGTTGCAACTTTGGTCGAGTTTTTGTCGATGGCATGGATGCAGAATATGTTGCTTCTGCCGTTGTTAGTGGCGTTGTGTCGGTGTTGTTTAATGGGCGATCAGAGAAGCAGGTTTCCAAGTTGCACTTCCATTCACAATAATCACTACTTGTAACACTATACAGGCCATGTGGAGTGCTTTGTGCCTCCATTTTTTTAATTATTTCTCAAAATGCACTGAATCTACATTGAACACATTTCCTCTGCTTCTTTACCTCTCACCGACACAAACTTTCTTGGACTGAATTTACACAGAATGAACACTTCCGCTTTTAACATTATGAAGGAAGGACACATCACTCTTGTATTTTAATTTTGTTAACTCACTGGTTGTGAACCACTTTCCGCTGAAATTCTCTATTTAAACATGATGCTTTGTATTTTATACACAGAGCGCACTTCTGGGAACACTTCCACTTTGAACACTGTGAATCAAGTAGGCTTCTTAGTGTTAATTTTGATACAAGTTACACAGTTTCGTCTTAAACACGCTAAGATTAGATGGGCGGTTTCTCCAATATTCCGTTTAACATGGGAAGGGTTGGGGTGGGGGTGGGTGTGGGGGTTGGACTGAACACAGGACTGCCGAAGTGTATCTGGTACATTAATGTGTTTATCTGATTTACCTGAAGGAGTATTTTTCTTAATACAGGGATTTGGACTCTTTGGCCTCCATCTCTTTCGAAATCACGGACTATAATATAAATAAAACTCATGTTTCCATGGAATCGGTGTACCGACTGTAACCAACTTGAATTTAAAGCACTGCTAAATATCTGAGGAAAATTTATAGATTACATACATTCGTATTTAATATTAAACTGTTGTTAAACGTGAGCTCTTATATATTTCAGGAAGTTCTGAGCCAAGTGTTAGGGCTTACAAAACATTCGAAGCCCTCTCTCAAATTTTGTGCCGTATGAAATGGATTCAGTTGTAACTTCATTACGCCACGCTCTTGTATCTCCGTGTGAAGGAGAGAGAAGGCGTACTTGTGTATGTTCTGGGATCACGATTCTTCCCATATGGAATTTACGTCCTATAAACTCATTTTGTTCGTAAATCTTTAACTGAAATTTACATGCATTTCAATCTGTGTCATTTAGGCAAAGCAGTTCCCCGGGATGTGGGGGTGTGGCAAGTTTAGCGGCGAAGGGAATATGAAATGTAGAATTGTCCCGTAAATAGAAAAATTATTTTCGAACATAGGACAGACGAATACCCCATTCGCGTATTTTTCCTTTGTACACAACCTCATTCTTTGTTAGCCAAGTAGTTTGCTTTAGCAATGCTGTTTTGAAACACTTTTCCGTAGAGGGTGTGGGGCAAAAGACCTGAGATCCTGTTTGAAAATATCATATGGCAATTATTTGCACAGTGTAATTCATCCGAGAGGAAAAATTGTTTGCCGGCCATGCATCGTATAATGGAAGACATCTTCTTACAACCACCACCAGCACCACCATCACCACCACACAATGACCATCAAATCATTTAATTAATCCATTCATTCATTCTTCCTTTCGTCCGTGCAGTCATCCATCTACCCCTCAATCCAGATACAAACATGCGACACACAAAGAGTGTATAAAGATGTTAGTACTCTGTCAGTAGACGTTTCAGCCTCTCGGTGAACTACACTGTACAACTGCCTCTTCCTTTTGAACAATACGATGTTCACAACAGCACTTGAGGATGAATATCCCAAAGCCAAACCCATGTCCTACTTCTGTAACATCCCTTTCAGTATTATGCCCAGCTTTACTCTTAGGATTCGTTAATTGGTAAGCCTCCCCCACACCTTCATTTTTTACGATAAAATTTTCTGTGCGTATTTCGCATCGCATGCACAAACAAACTATGAAGTTCTTCATAATTTCTATGTGTTCGAGAAATGGAGCTTCGACTGTGCTTCTTGCCGGGATTTGAAAATGAATTAAACACCATTTTACTGTAATGAATGTCCCCAGTGAAATGGCTGTAGGTCTATGGTACCTTAAGAGGGAACAGGGATACCTCATGTTCACTTTGTACAGTCAATTTCGAAAGAATTTCAATTACATTATCATGTTTAGGGAGAGGTCGATAAAACATGTAACTGTTTCTTGGATGTAATACTACGACCCCCCCCCCACACGAAGTTTACATATATGTAGTTCTATCACCCACAGTTCCCTGTGATAT